AGGCAGCGGAAACATACTAGCTAAGGAGTACTCTAGTTCAAATGATAGTCGTACATGTAAAATTTTTAAGAAATTACGCAAGTAAATAAATACTTTTGTTACTATTGTTTATAAATAATCTTAATGATAAATTAATTATTTTTAACGCCTTTTAATAATAAAAATGTGTCAAAATTGATTGAAATGAACTAAAAAAATAATATACAGTAATAAAATTGGTATTCATGATGATTAATAGAGAAAACAAAATTTATCAAATTTTCAAAAATCGAAAAAAAATAGTAATTATAGGAGGCCCACGATCGGACCGGGCTTAAAAGTTGTTAAAATGATAGTAGTTTGTTATACAAAAATTTCGAAAAAATCAAAATATGCACTCAGTTTGAAAAACAAGATTTAAAGTTAAAAACTCACCAAAATTACACAAAAAATTTTTGAAAATTTTTTCGTATTTTTTTTTGAAAAGTGCATAAAAAACAAAAATTTCAAAAAAAAAAAACTTTTAATTTGGACCATTTTTGAAGAAATTATGACCAAAAAACCAAAAAAAGACCGGTTTTTTTGAAAATTCGATATCTTTTGAACCTGTGATTCTAAAAATCTCAAAATTTACCCGAAAGGGTCTTTTGATGGGTACTAAGAAATATCAAAAAATTAGGCAAATCAAAAAAAAAAATTTTTGAAACTGTCCGACTTGGCGTGGAATGCCCCATATACATGCATACACATATTCACATTCGTCAAGCCCATATCACACTATGCCCATATCACGCATTGGAGATTAATGATTGCGAATGAGTCTTGTAACTTTACATATATTGTGTGTGTGTGTGTGTGTGTATATGTATATATATAATATATATATACACACACACCATGCATTATAATTCTAATATACATAAAGTTATACGACTCATTATTCTTTGTATACAATACATATACCTTTGGACAGCTTGTTGTATCTCTTGTGATGTTATTGGAAAATGTATCCATTGCCTTAAAAGATGATCATTGATGGCACACGTAACTTCTTGTAAAAACATACTAACTGTAGATTGAGCCATGCTCAACCTACAGTCTACACCAACAGCCTTTTGATAGCTACCTTGAGCATAGAAATTCAGGGTGCACAGTACCTAATTCAATAAATAAAAATTATATATAATACAATAATCTCTTATTAAAAGATACAAAGTTTAATTTAATCAGTTTAATTTAATAAAAGATATGAAATTTAACTTTAATATCAAATAAAATATGTTTATTTTATTAAATAATGTGATATACTGTATAGTCGGTCACAGAAAGGTTGCAAAACTTTTTGCTCGATGTTTTAAAGTTTTAGAACTCTAAAGGTCATGACACACAATAAACTGAAAGCAGTAAGACGTAAGTAGTAAGGAAATCAATGTTGTGGATTTGCTATTTGTGTGCTATGGCTATGAGCTCTAAAATTAGAAAACATTGAGCAAAAAGTTTTGTAACTTTTCTGTGATCAACCATACATACTGTATCTGGAGACACGGTAGTGTCTCGGTACTATTTTTTTTACCTTTAACTCATTTGGAATTGCCAGAGGACTTCTTCGCAGAGGAAGATACGCTTCCAACGCATCTATAAGTCCTCTAGTCATATCCCTGGTTAACCGATATAAACCAATAAATTGATTTTCTGACAGAGCAAATGGATCGAGCATATCTCGTAATCTTCTTCTCATTATTTTATTTATATTTATTTCTGCGAGACGCTGCCTTTCTCTTTCACGGCGTATTACTGCTAACTATAATATCAAAAAGAAAAAGACGTAATATTTAAAAAATAATTAATATTAATATTATAATATTACTATTAATATTATAATATTACTATTAATATTATTATTAATTTTCTTGTAAAATATTTCCAATACTTACCATTATCACAATTTATTTTTAGCTCTTATAATTCCTAATACACAACCGTCCCAGCCAAACGTGTGTGAAGTTGGCCCCGCACTTTTCGAATTTTGGATTTTTTTTTATTGTGCTATGTTGTGCTATGTTTGTGCTACGTTGTGCCGCAAACCGCAACTCAATAACGTGAACCGTTTTCCAAAAAAAAAAAAAAA